TGAGCCTATTCCAGATTGAGAGCCTATTCCATACTTACTGAGCATATTCCAGACTGATAGCCTATTCCAGACTTACTGAGCCTATTCCAGATTGAGAGCCTATTCCTGACTTACTGAGCCTATTCCTGACTTACTGAGCCTATTCCAGACTGAGAGCCTATTCCATACTTATTGAGCCTATTCCAGATTGAGAGCCTATTCCAGATTGATAGCCTATTCCAGACTTACTGAGCCTATTCCAGATTGAGAGCCTAGTCCAGACTTACTGAGCCTATCCCTGACTTACTGAGCCTATTCCAGACTGAGAGCCTATTCCATACTTATTGAGCCTATTCCAGATTGAGAGCCTATTCCAGATCGATAGCCTATTCCAGACTTACTGAGCCTATTCCAGATTGAGAGCCTATTCCAGACTTACTGAGCCTATTCCAGATTGAGAGCCAATTCCAGACTTACTGAGCCTATTCCAGATTGAGAGCCTATTCCAGACTTACTGAGCCTATTCCAGATTGAGAGCCTATTCCAGACTTACTGAGCCTATTCCAGATTGAGAGCCTATTCCAGACTTCTGAGCCTATTCCAGATTGAGAGCCTATTCCAGACTTACTGAGCCTATTCCAGATTGAGAGCCTATTCCAGACTTCTGAGCCTTTTGCAAAAAGAGAAATGTTATGACTGGTTTTGTTTTTCCTTTGCACGCTTCACAATGGACGCGAACAACTCAGATTGAAATGGTTGATAGATTCCATTTACTGATTTCAAAATATCGTTGGTAATGTTGATGCTTCAAGGTGAGCCGGATATCTACAGCCATATTGGCCATTTGGTGTAATAACAACATCTTTGATCCTATTTGTGATTTCAAGAAACAACCAGAACTATGTCACTTTTTATTCCAAGTTATCATGATATCTAAGGCCCTTCTGGTGATTTCAAGACCATCATATACATTGCCCTATTGGTGATTTGAAGAAACAGTCAAGTCACCACTTCATCTAAGGCCCTATTTGTTTATTACAAGTGACCACGGAAACTGTGGCCTTATTGGGGATTACAAGTTGCCTATCCGTCTATGACACTCTTGGTGATTCCAAGTCGCCTAACCACCTATGACACTCTTGGTGATTCCAAGTCACCTAACCACCTATGACACTCTTGGTGATTCCAAGTCGCCTAACCACCTATGCCACTCTTGGTGATTCCAAGTCGCCTAACCACCTATGACACTCTTGGTGATTCCAAGTCGCCTAACCACCTATGCCACTCTTGGTGATTCCAAGTCGCCTAACCATCCATGAGACTCTTGGTGATTCCAAGTCGCCTAACCACCTATGACACTATTGGTGATTCCAAGTCGCCTAACCACCTATGACACTCTTGGTGATTCCAAATTGCAAAACCATCTGTGCCACTTTAGGTAATTCCAAGTCAAGGCGTCTCCGCTTTTACCAACTGTGCATTTTCTTAGAAAAAGATTTCACAACGACAATCTAACATATCACAGACCTTAGGTAATTCTTGATGATTAACATTTTTGGTAATTCATGATCATTAACTTTGAGTAATCCTTGATCATTAACTTGGGTATTATTTCATTATTAATTTTGAGGAAGACTTGCAATGGGCTTACCAGTCCTTTCAGTTTCAGAACCTATTCTCCAAGACGTTCATTAAGAAGTAGCCAAGAAACGGAAAGTGAAATTCGTTCAACATTTCTTTTTTGTCTCGCTTAATACAGCAGCTGACATTAAAAATGGGGCTTTTTTTCAAACAAGAATATCTGCAAAATAACCCTTCATTTCTTATCTAGTATCCTTCCCTGGATCTCTTACTAATAAGAAATCTACAATCTTATTGTTCATCTATTTACATTTGATTGGTTACCATTCAAAGAGAGGTCCGCTGGGAAGAGCATATTAACAATGTATATAACCAAGCAAACGAGACCCTAGGGTTCTTAAGGCGAAATCTAAAGATTGGCAACTCCTGTGTGAAAGAAAGAGCATATAAAGCCTTTATCCGTCCGATTTTAGATTATGCATATTCAGTCTGGGACCCATTTACCCAGAAGAGCATTGACAGGTTGGAGGCGGTCACGCAACAAGCAGCACGCTTTGTCCTAAACCGCTACAGGAATACCTCTAGTGTTGGCATCATGCTAGAAACACTAGGCTGGTCACCACTGGAGAAACGACGACGACAATCCAGGCTCTCCATGATGTACAAGATAAATAATGGGCTGGTCCACTGTTCCAGTATTAAACAGAAACTCGTCCCTCTCCCCCATAGACAGCGACGAGGCCATGACAGAGATAAATAATGGGCTGGTCCACTGTTCCAGTATTAAACAGAAACTCGTCCCTCTCCCCCATAGACAGCGACGAGGCCATGACAGGCAATTCAGGCTCCTACCAGCAAGAAGCCAGTATAGGAGCTGCTCATTCCTGCCCAAGACAATCAGGGACTGGAACAATCTTTCAAAAGGAACGGTTGAGGCGACAACACTAGATACATTTGTGTCTATTGCCTCCAGCCTTCAAACCCCTAGTGCATGATTTCCTCATCAACACCAGTAACAGAAACATTGCAAATCCCATCTACATGCATAGGAGCCAAAATGATCAATAAATTGATCGTCGGCCCTTAAGATATAGAAGAAGATGAAGAGTAATATATATATAAGTATATATGTACAATAATTCAATAAAGGCTTTTGATTTGTCCTTACCACTTTACCCCTAACAGTGCTATGTCATCTGCATATGCAAGATACTGAAGATGTCTATGTTTGTGTTTGTTGTGGGTCTTGAGTCTCCCTCAGAAAGTATCATGTTTTGTTCCTCTGGTGTCAATATGTAAGCTTCTTAGAACTCTCTCTAATGTTAGGTTAAATAGCATACAAGACAGGTATTCCCCTTGTCTTGGGAAACGTACAATCTGAAATTCTCTAGACTATTCTCCTTTAACCTTGATTTTGTTTTTTGAGTTCAGCAATTTTTTTATGTATTAGTCTTTTCAGTTTGTTGGTAAGCCAAACTCCTGCAGAGTGTCGTATATATATTTATTTGATTCTTTTGATGAATATTTGTGATCGAATGAAACGGAAGATGTAATTAATAAACCTGGCACCGTTCCACTAAACTTAAACGTTTGAGGAAAAGACTTTTCTCATGCTCAGTGTGAGGGACACAGGTGGAAATCAAGTTGTCCATTGCTTTTTTAAATCTGACTTTAACACAAATAAGTTAGCTACACTGGCTCTTCCATTCATTCACATTTTGTGGCCGACAGGTCAAGAAATACTGATCTCTGTCAAAATGCTTCTTCGAAGTATAGAATGATAGATATGTCAATGTTATGTGCTATTTGAATCCGTTCAAACGTATGACAGCAGGGGATCGGACAGCTAAGGAAAGTCAAAACTACAGGTCACTGTCTACAAAATACGGAAACTTAAGGTAACGGTCTACAAATTTCGCAAACTTTAGGTCACTGTCTACAAATTTCGCAAACTTTAAGTCACTGTCTACAAATTTCGCAAACTTTAGGTCACTGTCTACAAATTTAGCAAACTTAAGGTCACTGTCTACAAATTTCGCAAACTTAAGGTCACTGTCTACAAATTTCGCAAACTTAAGGTCACTGTCTACAAATTACGCAAACTTAAGGTCACTGTCTACAAATTTCGCAAACTTAAGGTCACTGTCTACAAATTACGCAAACTTAAGGTCACTGTCTACAAATTTCGCAAACTTAAGGTCACTGTCTACAAATTTCGCAAACTTAAGGTCACTGTCTACAAATTTCGCAAACTTAAGGTCACTGTCTACAAATTACGCAAACTTAAGGTCACTGTCTACAAATTTCGCAAACTTAAGGTCACTGTCTACAAATTTCGCAAACTTAAGGTCACTGTCTACAAATTTCGCAAACTTAAGGTCACTGTCTACAAATTTCGCAAACTTAAGGTCACTGTCTACAAATTTCGCAAACTTAAGGTCACTGTCTACAAATTACGCAAACTTAAGGTCACTGTCTACAAATTTCGCAAACTTAAGGTCACTGTCTACAAATTACGCAAACTTTTGGTAACTGTCTACAAATTTTGCAAACATTAAGTAACGGTCTACAAATTACGTAGACGACATGAGGGACAAAACGAACGGTTGCCTTTCAGGCACATCCGTAGCTTGGATCTTGCAACCCCTGCGACTGCTGGGGACCTTATGTTCTTAAAGTGCGCAATGTAGTGATGTGAATTAAGTTTAAATTATCAACTTGGGATGCAAGAAAGAGGGGGAGAGGGGCTAGAAAACCTAAAAATGGCAGAGGGCCTCAAAAAGTCGGGCGACGGCTCTGCTTTCATTGTGATTGAGGACGAAATAGAGTAATTAGGGGGGTTTTGTATTTTGGAATGAGGGTAAAGTATACCCTTTAGTTTTATTTTTAAATAAATCCCTTTCTTGTCGAAAGTGATTTGGGAACACAAGTTGGTATCATTTCAAACGTCAAATTTAATTGGAATGGTTACGTGGCACCATAGAATGAAAAGGTTGACAAGATGGCCGCTGCACGTTAAACTTCCGGGGACCAGTTACTGCGACTTACGAAATCATGTTGAGCATTTCAATGTTAATTGTTTACCGACGCTTAAGTCATCCCATTCCTATATAACTGAACAACTGTCACAGGGGTTCTAAAAAAGTTCACTGGAGTTTTTAAACAAAATTCAATCTCCAAATGATGCTAAAACCCCCACTAACCCAAACTTAACAATCCGTTTACTCTTCTTCTACAATTTCTGTTAGTATTTTCAAATTAAAATAATAACATGAAGTGCAGAAGTTTAAGGCCTTGAGTTAAGTGTGTGCACGTAGGAAGATATCCACAAGTTTTAGAGCCTCGAAAGGCAATACGTGTCGTATTTCGTGCAATGCGCATGCGTAAAGATGTGAATGCTATTTAGATGCTATAAAAAGTCATGCTTGATCATGGAACAAATCAGAAAGCCCACGATTCAGAGCCAAGACGATCAGAACAACGACAATGAGAATGTCGTGAGTACCTTTACATTTATAAAGAAAAGGGATATTTTTTATTTCTTAATAAATTCCAGCATTTTTTATATTTTTTTTAAGGGTGGCGAAGACGTTCGATATGATAAATATTATTTTTACAATTTGTACCTCAGCATTTAGGATTTGCAGTGATAACCAATAATTTGTTGGCAATATTTAAAAAAACAACAACATTATACTCCATTGGAGTTAAATTTGTGTGTATGTGGGGGGGGGGGTGTTGAAGCGTGGTGAGGTCATTGTGGTCAAACATGGTATCACTAAGACGATTCCTACAGCACATACACGCTCCAGGTTTGGTTGTTTGTTCTTTTGTTTTTTGTTTTTTTGTTGTTTTTTTTTTGTTGTTTATAGCGCCTTGCATTTACTGAACGTGTTGATGTTGCAAAACCTTTGTAAAGAGAAAACAGGTTTTAGCACGTGACCATCAAGTGTTTGTAGTTTTGTTTTCACTGTCATCGGGGGACCACCAGTGGATTCGTTTGTGAAACAAGATCACTTTAAATACATTATTATTTCCACCACGTCATTCCCCCCCCCCAGCTCTTTATGGTTATTGTATTACTGTGCTAAATCTTATGACAGTTATGAATTATACCCTCTCAAGTTTTGGGACACTTCGATTCAAATTATTATTAGGACCCTTGGCAAAATTATTTTTAAGAGAACTAGAAATAAAAGTAAACTTATAAAATTAAACAAAACTGGCCTTTCAATTTAGGAATGCCTGTGTGTGTGTGCGCGTGTGGTTTTTTTTTAATGTGCCTGTCATCTAAAACATCAATAAGTTTTGAAAAAATAAATTTCAAATTAATTTAAACACTAGAATAACATAAACAGGCCGCACCACTCAATGACATAAACAGGCCTCACCACTCAATGACATAAACTGGCCTCACCCTTCGTGGACATAAACAGGCCGCACCACTCAATGACATAAACAGGCCGCACCACTCAATGACATAAACAGGCCTCACCACTCAATGACATAAACAGGCCGCACCACTCAATGACATAAACAGGCCTCACCACTCAATGACATAAACAGGCCTCACCACTCAATGACATAAACAGGCCTCACCACTCAATGACATAAACAGGCCTCACCACTCAATGACATAAACAGGACACCACCCAATGACATATACAGGCCTCACCACTCAATGACATAAACAGGCCCCACCACTCAATGACATAAACCGGCCTCACCACTCAATGACATAAACAGGCCTCACCACTCAATGACATAAACAGGCCTCACCACTCATTGACATAAACCGGCCTCACCTCTAAATGACATAAACAGGCCTCACCACTCAATGACATAAATAGGCCTCACCACTCAATGACATGAACAGGCCTTACCACTCGTGGAGTCAATTCGCCATACACTTTTTTTTTCCTTTCATAAAACTTTACAGAAATAATTTGGATCTTGGACTTCTTGCCTTATGTAACGTTATTACATTGAAGACATGAGCAGAATGAACGTAATCACTACTTCGTATACTTTCTCTCCTCCACTGCATCACGACACAAAGGACTTCCTCCTCGAGACGCAACGTACTGTTTTTTTCAAATTTGCCTTAATCGCGTATCTTCATTTCATTTAGCCAGTCTATGATTAATTTTTTTTTTTTTTTTTTGCAGTAACTTTATATACGGATTGGTGATCTTTTTCGCGTGCCTTGGCCTCACAGCGTCAAACAAAGGTAAACACATTCTCTCTCTTTCTTTCTCTCGCTCTCTCTCTTTCTTTCTTTCTCTCTCTCTCTCTCTCTATCTCTCTATGTATCTTGTTTTCTTCCTTTTTCACTCCATCTCTGTTTGTTTCTCTCTCCGTCTCCCTTTCTCTCACTCATTTTCTCTCTCCCTGCCTACCTATCTCTCTTATTCACTCTCTTTCTCACTCACTCAATCTCTGAATCTCTCTGTTTCTCTCTCTACCTCTCTCTCTCTTACTTTCTCTCTCTCTACCACTCTCTCTCTTTCTCTCTCTCTCTTCGTCTCTCCCCCCCCCCACTCCCGCTCTCTTTCAACATGCCCTCTCTGCTGTCCAGATTTTTGTTTTAATGCCTTGAAGTAAGTTCTACTTTCAACTCTGATTATGCCATGCCTGTAAGCCCGCGGACATTATTTCGTCAAAGGCGGACCAAGTTCCAAAGGATGAAACTTTAAAACAAAAATCTTTTAAACTAACTTATACAGCCTTTCTGGCTGTGTTTTTCTGGGGAATAATACAATTTAATTGTTTGTTTTTTTACAATAAATTAGCTTCAATTTTTAACTTATTTCGTTTGTTTAATAAATTTCAGAGGAAGCCCCCAGTGAGTCGATGCAAGAGCAGAATGATTTCGTTGTGTTCCGAAACAGTTCAGCGAACGTCACCAACGAGAAGCTGGTGCACGCAGTGGTAGCTTTCTGCTCATTGGACCCTGCACTGTGCTACAAACTGGTACGAAAATTTGTAGCTCCCTTTTTTCGCCCAGAGACCCCCGCAGAGCCGGGGCCTCTTGCCAACCCCTACATCCCTAGGTGTGGAGCACCAAGGTTCGGCCTGGACGGAGCAGTCTGGTTCCTCCTAGGGTGCTTGCTCCTGTTAAACCGTATCCACCTTGACTCGAATTGGAAGTGATGCATTAATCTGTCAGGCTCAGACATGGTTTTCGAATTCTAAATTCTAAAGATTTTGTTCTTGTTAAGATGTAATGGTATTCGTGTTTTGTTGTGTTGTTTTTTTTTCGTTTCTTCAAATTTGTTAAAGCTTTGTTTTAGACAAATAACAAGTCTTTTTTTTTAACGCACGTCTACTGGTTGTCCAAAATTTAATCAATAAATTTTACTAAAATAATTTGAAATACAGACTTTCCAGATTTGTCGCTAGAGATATGTAAGATTATTAAATATGGTATTTTAAATATTTAAAAAAAAATATTTATAACGTTTTTTTTTTTAAATTCGATGAGTCAAAAGTTAGGATTTGATGGCAGATTAAATTGATAAATGTTTATTTGTTTTAATCAATTAATGGCTTGAAGGAAAGCAAAAATGTGTTTACTTTGTTTGAAGTTTTGAATTGGACCTCTTTAAAAAAAGAGAAAGTTGGGTTATTATTGTTTATTCTTTGGGGTGGGGGCGTGAAACATAATTATACCTTTATTTATGGTTTTTTTAAACAATCTCATCCACCCACTCTTATTCATTCGGCAGTAGGTGAAATTACTAATTTGATGGTAAAAATTGCTGGTACAAAATTCAGGAAGCGAAGAGTATTGTGAGTCCCGTTCGTCCTTTCTATATGTCATTTTTAGTCAGTTTTTTAGTTAGTTTTCTGGTCACCAAAAGAGGGGAGACTTCACTCAATGCATCCTTGACGAATTGATGGATTGATGAGTAGCTATTAGCCCAGTCAGTGAACGTTGGTAAAGGGGAAAAAAAGATATTACTCAAGGTTTATTTTAAGAATTGCCACTTTTTGAAGAATTGAATTTTTAATTTGTATAGTCTACATTCATCTGGGGAAACTCTTCACAAAAAAAAACTGTTAAAGAATGTAACTATCTAAATGTAGACAAAGATCTCACTCGTGAAGTAAAATAAAAGAATGCCATAGCATGGACCAGATACAATCCTCGGTCGCACAATCGTCAATCAGCTACAATAACTCTATCATGTTATTGTGTGTGTGTGTGTATGTGTGTGTGTGTGTTGTTTATCGTCTGTTATCAACGATCATGTTTTAGAAACCCTGGACTTGCAATCTTGTGTCATGAGACAAATAAAAAAAATTCCCAATTTCTTATTGTTCTTGACTTTATGTTGTTGTTTAAAAATTGGTTTGACTTATTTAAAGTGGATTAGGGGATCACACCATCCGCTATTTCTTTTAAGTCTTGGAAGATGTTAACAAAAGGCGAATTACAACGAGTCAATAATAAATGAGACTCCAGTTGTTTGGGTGAGTGTATCACCCCCAACCTCCCACCCCTCTCAAAAAAAAAACTCTTAGGATATTGCAGAGTGCATATGCACACATATATACATACACACGAAAGGTGTTTTTGTAATGGAAAACTTAAATTCGACAACTTTCATGAAAAAAAATAATCTGGCTCAGGGGCCAAAATAATATATCTGCCACCATGTTATGTTACGATCTCACAGAGTGAGTTTAACTTGGGACATGTGGAGATTTAGGACGCCAATTTAAGCCAACAAATTACTTGGAGTTCATGGCTTTGGGGCCTTACAATCAGATACCCCAACTCATAAAAATATTCCGTTGACATACAATGTGCACTCTCAGTTACACTGCCCCCTCCCTATCTCTCTCTCTCTCTCTCTCTCTCTCTCTCTCTCTCTCTCTCTCTCTCTCTCTCTCCCTCTCTCTCTCATACACATACTCGCATAAAAACATACAGGGGTTTGTCTATTTATNACATACACTGTGCACTCTCACTCACACTCCCCCCCCCCTCTCTCTCTCTCTCTCTCTCTCTCTCTCTCTCTCTCTCTCTCTCTCTCTCTCTCTCTCTCTCCCTCTCTCTAGCTTACACATACTCGCATAAAAGCATACAGGGGTTTGTCTAGTTATCTGATCTGACAGGAGCGAGTATTTGACAGGCAAGGTACTAACAGGGAAGTTTGAACTAATATCATGTAGTTTTTAATTACAGGTCAGACCTTGACTTAAATGGATATACACAAGAATTTAGGGATACATTGCTTTATCCAGATCCTAAAAGTTGATTCCCCCCCCTCCCCCCAAACCCCAACTGCGCGTTTTTGAATGATATGCAAAAATATAGCTGTTAAATAAAAAAAACTAAAATTCAAGAGCAATTGCTATCGCCACCTGCACCAACGTGACGATTAAGAGATCAAATAAGTTTCCCTTTCACTTTATCATCGCTAGAGTGATCTGGTTTGGGGAGGGTTGTGAAAATAATAATATTTTCCTTCTGCTGAATTAATTAAAGATTGTCTTTTTAAGTGGATCTGATCCCCATATCTATTTAACAAACAGTTTGTACTTTTTTTTCAATGGCCAAACCCTTATAGGATGACCAGTGCCGGATTAACTCAAGAGCATGCTGGGCACGTGCCTATGGAAGGGGCAGCACTCATCAGGGGGGGGGGTCCCGGGGAAAACAGATATATTTTATTTAAGGGTGGTGACTTGAGTTGATCTTGAACGTACCGGTAAATTGGTAATGTCTAATACTGATTGTCCTCTCCATACATAACAAGTTATACAATTATGGGGATAAAGGGAAAAAAACGTGTATTAAGGGAAAGTTATTATCTTTACCAAAGGCGGTAATCACCAAATGGGCGATTTTGACGATTAGCAGATATGAATAGCATTTTTTGTGTGGAAATAATAGCAGTTTTGGCTAATTTTGAGCAGTGAATAAGGTAAATGTCTACAAAAATTAATTTAAAAAAAAACAAACAAACATTACTTTGCCGTGATAAGGAACACATACCTAAGTCGAGGCCAAAGTGTAGGCTATTGATATTAGCATCGGGATAGGGTGGAAATGTGTAGCTTTGATACTTTCTGCCTGCAGTGAATTCCCACAAGTGTGACCCTTAACAAAAACTCTGGATTTATAATTTTATGTCGATAAAAAAAATACCAACGCGACGTCCCCTTCACATTCCCATTTAGGGGAGGCAAAACTTCCACTGGATTTCTTTAACCACGGACTCGAATGTGAACAATAAATTTTAAGGCATTTATTCAAATGCACATGTCATATAAAAATCGGGATGAAATTCTTGAGAAGATATTTTAAATGATTGATTGAAACTGCAACACATGCTAGTTTAGCTCTCAGTAGCAAGATTCAAGTTCATGGAACCTGGAGTTGTTGTTTTTTGTACAAGCAGAAATTTTGCGCCAGGATTGCAATTTGCAGGTACACCTACTGAAATTTTATTCAATTAATTTGATTTCCGAAACAAAATTTTGCTTTTTTTTCTGGTTTACCAATAATAAGGGAGAAGTTAAGCAAATGTCATATGATTTGGTTTTTTATATTTAACTATGCTTATTATTTTTCTGTTCAACAAAGGGAGACAGCTCAACTAATGTTAATAAGTGACATTAACCAATAGTTATTCAATCATTCTCTTTACTGAAGCATCAGATACGAAAAAGGAAGGAGAAAATACAAAGTTTGACCAGTTCTATACATTTATAGTCTTTGGTTTCGACGTAGACAAGTCTCTCTCCCCCTCTCTACTCTCTTTCCCCCCTCTCTCTCCCCTCTTTCTCTCTCTAATCTATATGTCTCTCTGTCTCCCTCTGCCTCTATCTTCACTCCATAACCCTCAGTTGTGTATGCTTATGGAATTTGTCTGAGGACCACACAATCCTTTAAAAAAAAATCTGAATCCTCGTACAGCCTTTTTCGGACCGTATAAGGTACAAAAATGCTTCTACTCACTTAAACAATAGGATTGCGCCCGTCTTACTTATGTCCAGTTTCAAAGATGTTTGGCACAGATTTTGGTGGGATGCATGCAGCACCTGGTCGAGAGCACCTGCTTTATTTTCATAAATGAAAAACTAACATGTCGATTCAACTTTCCTTCCTGTTGACACAGTACACTTTCAGGACCCGGGGGGAGGGGGGGGGGACAGTGTTTCTTGGTGCTGTATTTTTAATCTCTCTCGGAATTGTTTCTTTCATTTCCTAACACTTACATAATAAGTAGGCATGATACAGCTGTTAATAGTCTTCCTCAGTCGAGAGGCCGATTTCAAACAACTGCCCAACATTTATTCCTGTAACCACGAGTAACAAGTGGCGGCTGAAGCGATGAACAGGTAGTAGAGCAGTCAAGCATTTTCGCTGCACAAACTTCACATCTCACTAGCATATAGGAGATATTTTAAAACGATTGCCTTATATTCTTTCAGCTAAGTGACAAGACAGAGATACCTTCGCTCCCGAAAAACTCTTGCGGAGCCTTCCAAATTGAACATTTGCTTTGGGCATTAGGTTGTTGATCTTATCATCTATTGTTACTGACGTAGAAAGGGTTCCGCCCAAACTTTTCACGTTTCCCTTTGCTTGAAGATTCTTTCCATTTAGTGATCTTTTAGTTTCTTTGTAAGCTTTTCCAGGAGATAACCTGATGAAAGGTCTCTGTTTTTTTTCATATTGATCGCAATGCTGTAGTTGTCACAGGTTTTTGCTTCATCTTTATTTCTAAACTTGCATTCAGGGCACTGTAAGCAAACGGTTACAAATAACCGTTTCTTTAACTTTTGGTATGGCTTCAGTCTCCAAAGATTTAAATTGATAATCCTCCATGTCATGTATCGTATAATAATGCCATCATTAAGGTCAAGAAAAGCATCAGCCAGCACGGCTGAGAATACAATAATTCTAAAAAGTGTTGGAGAAAGAACACAGCCTTGTTTTACGCCATTAATTACAGGAAGAGCAACAGACTCATCCCCAGATTCCATCATTCTGGCCATCATACCATCATGGAGTTAACACATTATTGTAATAAATCTACTCGGGCAGCCAAATAGGGATTGGACAGAGATTGGATCATTTCCAGTAGCTTTATTCGAGGAGAGTTTCTGGACTTTTGTCTAGTTCTTGGTTGATCTCCACGTGTGGTAAACGAGCAAAGAAATTATCATTTGTAGCAGCCGGACAGTTAAAACTCTTGACAAAAGTGTTTGATACATCTTTCTAATAAAAATCTGACCCATGTCTGTCTGCAGTTGAGTTACGTCTTTGTTAAGGATAGGCAAGCGGCGTAACAACTGTGATCCTCAGACTTCTTTTGTGGAATCCTAGAGACGTTTGGTATCATGTATATCGGCACAGGCCTGAATTGCCTTTCCGCTGAGCCATGAGTCCGGCATTTCACCTAGTTTCTTTTGCATTTCCTGTTTTATTTTGCTGAGAGTATCTTTCTATATCTGTGACGTAGACTTGTTCTGATAGGATCCCAGCACTTGAATGCTTATCGTCTAGTAGTGACTGTATCTCATTATCATTTTCATCAGACCAATATCTATTTTAGCGGGTTGTTTGTCCGAGGTGGTCCAGGGCAGTGGAGCAGAGAGACACTTTGGAATCAATATTTTCATTTTCCTCCAAGGTATTAACTCTAAAGCCTGCGTTCGTGTACAGTGGATAAGCTTTGTTTTAAATTTCTGACATTGGAGTCTTCTCATAGGTAAAACTTGAAATTTTAATTTGAAAATTATTAGTCGATGGTGAGTCCAGCATTTAGCACGATACATAGAAGGTGTGGTGAACTTGGCTGCCAATACCGCACAGACGAACTAGCCATCAGAAAACTACTTAAACGACAAAATTATGATTAAAAAATATTCTATAATATTAACTTAAACACACGACCGCGTTCAAAACATAAAAAAAAAAAACAGAGCTTCGTCATAACATTTCGTTGTTCCCGCCAGTAGAGTAGAGATTTGTGCAAGTATGGATTGCTGCACGCTTCCTTTCCCAATATGTTAGGCTTTGCCGAACCTCCGAGACCAGGGGATATTTCAGACTGCGATTCTTCAAGACTATTGTTAGCTTTCTTATGCACACTGAGGTGTATAACTGCCAGCCCATGGATGGTCAGACTTTAAAAAAATAATTTAACTCAATGAATATGACTAAGGAAATGAAACAACTAATAAAATTAAAGTTATTTTTTTAAAATGTGTTTGATTAAATTTTAACCGGGTGACCATTCGGTTTGCGATTCCTCCAGCAGACATTTGTTAGCTTTCTTATGGACCTA